GCTGGAGCACTTCCCAACTGACCCATTGGTGTCCGTGTTCCCATGATAGCAGCAGCTTTGAACTTTGCAAGACCACAGTGGTGTCCCATTCTGGTCAGCGACCCATTTACCAGACCGATTGTACTGCTTTCTCAAACTTGTTGGACAAGAAAACAAAGTCTGCTCTCTAGCAGTAAGCACAGGGTCTGGAAACAGTTTGAAGCCTGCCTGCTAATGAGGGTCCTTGGGGTCTTCCTTCCCTAAAATCAAGGCTTTCTACAAAAAGAATATACTGCCCTCCATGACAGGGAGTCAAGTAGCCAGGTATTTACATTTAGACAAGATGGAGTCTTATCTGGCAGCCTGGAAGAATGCACTGCTGTCAAAAATCAAATAAAGGCCTTCAAAAATCCTTCTCAAGAGACAAGGATGCCATTTGAAGAGCAAAGTAGTAGCAATTTCCACTAACATCACAGGAATTTTTTAAACTATTCTGTTTAAAAGACACAACCTGCCTGTACCCATCAAAAAGTCTATGGTTCGAGTCTTTAAAAAAAATTATTATAAATGTTAACATAGCAGACTTTTCATTCCTGCATAGTGAGTTTTTCCTTTAAATGAAATAAAAGATCTACCGTACTGATTTTTCACTATGAAAGTAATTTTTATCATTCAGGGAAAAAAAGAGGGTTTTTTTCCTTCATACATATATCCTAATACATGTGTCTTGTTTTACAGGTTTGATGAGAGTATGAGAATTAATTACCATCCTATGTCTAAATCTTATTACAATAGAAGTATACCCTTACCATATACGAGGATTCACTCATTTCTATGAATTTTAAAGCACTAAGGGGCTCAGTTGCTTTGTGTCCCAGAATCTGAGTGTTCCTGGAAACGTCTGGTGGATTATGGGGACAGGGTGTATGGAATCAAGAGCTTCCTTGAATGGTATTTGGAGTCTGAAAAGGGCAGGTAGCAATTCTGAGTCCGGTGAGATAACCCTCATTCAGACTATTCTCTGCCTCAACTGAGAAAAGGAATCTGAAATAAAACAGGTCATTTTAGACAGGTTAGCCAGAGAAGATCTATCTCTGATGAGAGATGGCACTTGAGTAAAACACTGTAGGAAATGAGAGATATCTGAGGGAAAAGCTTTCCAGGCAGAAAGAACAGCAAGTGCAAAGGCCCTGAGTGAGGACCATGTCTGATGTGTTAAAGTTTGCAGTAGAGTGAGTAGTTGGAGCACAGCAGAAGATGGGGTTGGATCAGAGTGAAATGGAGAGGGCAGGCCAATCAGGTAGGACCCACTAGAAATATGGGACCACATCTACTTTTACTTGATGGGAAGCCATTGAAATGCTTGAGCAAAGCAGTGACATGATCTCAGTAAAGACATGGTTTCAGCAATGACAGGACAGTGATAGAGCAGAGAGGCTTACAATCAGAAGAGGAGACATTTAAGTTGAGGCTAAAGAAGACTAAGAATTAGCTAGAACCAAGTGGGTTTGGGGTAGATGGAATAGAAAGAATTTTAGAGCCAGAGAACCATATGTGAGAAGGCTCAGTGGGATTGGTACTGGTGTTATCTGAACCATTGGCAAACGATGGTAGTGATGGCCATACCTTCCATACTCTAGAAATCAGACATGGGTTCCTTTCCATAGAAGCATACCACAACATCATCCTTGAACACTGGCTTTTGTGAGGACAGCACTAACGGCAATGCTCTGGTGTGTGTCCCTGGCATACCCGTGGCCTGGGTATCAGCAGTGTTGGAAGACATGACTACAATGAGCCAAAGCAGAAGAGAAAGAGAACAGTAGATGGCATGTGGTAGGTAGCAGAGGCCCACCTGAATGACTTACAATCACTGAGACATGGTCCTCACTCAGGGCCTTTGTACGTGCTGTTCCTTCTGCCTGGAAAGCTTTTCCCTCAGATATCTCTCATTTCCTACAGTGTTCTACTCAAGTGTCATATTCTAAGGTAGAACAACTTGCAATTACGGGAATTTAGGGATCTGAAGCTGGAATTTTTCAAGAGTAGGTGAAAGCAAAGCCAAAGAAATAGGAAACAGAACTGTAGAAACAAGGGCTAAAGATGAAAAATAAATGGATAGTACTTGTGTATTTTTTCCAAGAGCTTCCGAATCTATTGCTTCCTTTTGTCCATACAAGTACACTGCAAGTTAGAGGGGCAAATAAACAAAGTGGGTCATGCAGAGTTAATGAATTATATAATACCACAGAGAGAATTAATAGTGGATTAGAGAATTTGAACATGAGACCCTTGGCAACCGGTTCAAGTTCTTTTAGACCAAGTGGTGTAAATAAAGACAGGTGGGGAGAGGGGAGGAGGGAGAAGAACAACAGACAGAACTTGTATGTGGAAAGAATAGTTTGCATCTCCCAGAACAGTGACATAAAGGAGCCATAGATTGTCACATACTTTGGTCGTAAGCTTATTTTCATGCAGCACAAAATAAACTTCAGCATGTTTTTCAAAGTGCAAAACTGTTTGCTTGTAGGAGAAAGCATTAGTATGAACTTTCTGGAGGTAACTTTCTGATTTTAAAATTCCTAAAATCAGAATTTTAAGCACTAAAAGTCTTACATTTTGATTACCATATCAGTTACTGTTCTTTGGACTGTAAGTTGAGCTGTAACTAATGAAAAACAGTGATCAAACTGCTTTAGAAATGAGGAAATGTATTGACTCACATAACTAGATGTGAAAAGGTTGAGCAAGTTGCTATATTGACTTAGTCCAGTGGTTCTGCTTCCGTTCCCTGTGCCTTCCCATATTTGAGCTTACTCATCAGACAGAATAAGGAGTCCTTGGTATAATAGAAATGTTCAAAAATAGAGGATTGATCAAAGTATGATGGAATACTATACATCTATAAAAATGTGTTAGCGTTCTTTAAAGAACTGAAAATATGATTCCAATATACCATTAAATAAAAAAAAAAGCATATTTCAAAGAAATATGTTCAGCATGATTTTGTTTTAGTTGGGAAAAACATGCTATACTTTTATAGAAAGAACTAGACAGATATATATTGAAATGTTAACAGTTGTAAATTACAACTGAGCAATGGGAAAAAGGGACACTTTTTCTTCTTTTGACATTGTTATTTTCTAAATTTTCTACAATAAGCACATATTGTGAGAAAAATAGAAGTTATTATTTTAAAGTCATGTCATGATATTTGAGAGTTTGATACATAAATTTAATTATAAATTTTCCTCTTTTTTGGTCTAGTACTTCTTAACCATTGCTGCTCCAGCGGTTGGAGGTCAATGTGACATAGCTCGAGTCAACTTACCATGTGGAAAACTGTCCTGCTGGGCTGCTAGACGAACTACCACAGCCATCTGAGCAGATTTTATAAAAATAAGACTCTTAGAAAGCCTCAAGTTAGGGTTATTCTGAAAATAAACTAAGTTATTTACAGATAATCTAGGCAGTAAACTACCAGGTAAGAGATGAGATTCTTTCAGAGCTACTCATGAATTTACATTTAATGAAATTAACCATTGTGGGGGACTGGTCTTGGCCACGTCAAGATATGTCTCTTTGGCATGAGGATTATTTGGGACAGGGAAAGAGGCTCTGAGGAGTGGAACTTGCTTGCCTTTTGTCAAGAGACGTTTACATTGTAAAGGAAATCTCCATCTATAAAGATATCTCCCTCTCTGTACCGGGAAGAAAGGGGATGACTTTATCTCTAGAAACTCTTAATCAATACCAAAGGCAAGGACTTAAATCTGCATAATAATCTTATTCCTGTTTCTGGTAATCTCCTGTAACTGACTCCCCCCGCCCCCAACATCCTCCTTTGTCATTAGCGGGATATGACATTTAAGGTGGTGGCTTCCACCATTTTGGCAAGTTGCTCAGCTTGCCTGTCCTCTCCCATGTATACAGCTTATAAAGCTTTGTTTAGTTTTCCCCTGCTGTTCTGTCTCATGTGAATTTAATTCGTTCTCCGGCCAGATGAACCCAGAGCAGGTAGAGGAAAGTCTTCCTCCCCTACACCAGCATGTGTTAAAACTCACAATGCAACTGGCACTGGGTAAGGATCTTTACAAATATCCTTTGATTAGATGCTATTAACTCCATTGTACTGATGAAGAATCAGAGGCTAAAGAGGTTATGTAATATGACACAGTCCACACAGGTGGTAAAACTGGGATTTGAGCTCAGGCCTACTTACTGCACTCTGGGCCTTTCATAAGGCCTCACGTTGTTTCCAGTCAAGCTATTTGGAGCACCTTCATTTTACAATCCTCACTCATCTCAGGAAACACTGTTTTTCATCACACATAAGACTCTACCATTCCGTGGATATGTTTTGGAAAAAAACAGACACAGAAAATTTTGTTAATAAAAACATTACATGTGCTCAAATTTAAACATTGAACATAAAAATTTTTCCCCAAAACAACTTCATTAGACATATGTCCTCCCAAATGGACTAGCACTCATGAACACACTGGAATATAAGATCTGCCTTTCAACAACATGTATTATTTCCACATCAGCAAAACATGAATAACCCCTTGTAGAGAATTATTTTCCTGGGCTAAATTACGACCACATGATTAGGCCTTCCAATCAATTCCATACCACAGATATTAACAATTAGGAAAGAGCCTGTGGATAGGCTGGAATCAAAGTTTCAAGCTGAGGAATGAGCAGTGGGCTTAGGATATAGAGGAATAGTGAAACTAAGAAAAATTCATTAGGGGCTGGCCCCAAGGCTTAGTGGTTAAGTTTGGCGCCCTTTGCTTTGGTGGCCTGGGTTGTTTGGTTTGGATCCCAGGTGCAGACCTATACCACTCATCAGCCATGCTGTGGCAGCATCCCACATACAAAATAGAGGAAGATTGGCACAGATGTTAGCTCATGGCTATTTTTTCTCAAATAAAAAGAGGAAGATTGACAACGGATGTTAGCTCAGGGCAAATCTTCCTCAACAACAACAACAAAATAAACAAATAAAAGGATTAAGCTGTATAAAAATTTTTTTAATAAAAAAAGAAAAATACATTATATTGGTCTTTGATATCCCTCTTCTTTTATGTGTCATATGAAGAAATTTCTGGCAGTTTACTATTCCAAAATAAGTTACCCTGTGGTAGTGTTATAGTCTATAGCATTTACGAGAGAGAAGAAGAAAAATCAGTGCAAATGTCCTTCACACACTTTCATTATTTATAACAATACTTCACTATAGATTGCTTCTAACAGAGTTAAATACCTTATGTACTAATTTTTCTCTGGGAAAAAGCCAATTTACACAAATATATAAAAATCCATATAATGAAAATGAATTCTAGTCACTGAGTACTTCCTCATATAGAAATATAATCTACCATATATTCCTCTAATATACAATATCATGTCACTGGAATATAATTGCAATATAGTCATTACAATACTCAGCTGACTATGCTCCCAGGTGCTGGCCCATCCGTTTTTCTCCTTGGTTCAAAAATGATTCGCTCATTTAACGATAGAAATTGATATATATTTTTAGCACCTCATCTCTGTGATTTCACTCTTGGATCTGACTTTTTTAAAAAATGTATTTCCAAGTAGGAAATAAAGCAAGGGATTTTCTCTCCTCTTCTAAGGCTCATGCTTGCTGTGGTGATGCTTTCATCTAGTGTAAGTCAGGTTAAACCTGTATGAGATTTTACAAATAAGTGACATATCACAGTAAGCTCTTTGGTGGCAGACTTGTCCTGCTATATGATATACAAAAACTTTGTCCTTTAACCCACAGAATGGAAGCCAGCAGACTCACAGCTGCATGTAGAGCAAAAGCTCTCTGCCCGTGGGAATGAGTAGGAGAGTCAGTATCTCCTACAAGAGAAATAACTACAGAGTATAGTCTCATTCATGCCTTCGGAGGACGTGCTGCCTGACAGCCATGCAATTCTTCCTAGCAGAGGAGGCCCAGGATATTATTTGAATGCTACAGGACAATATCCATTTGTGATCCCCACAAGAAGGCAAAAGCTTAGTTGCTCAAGATCAATAAAATAGACAAAAATCTCAAAAATAAAGCCACATGTTTCTTCCCAGTAGAGTTTAGAATCTTGGAAGGAATCTCTGTAACAAGTTTATATAGCCTCTCACCTAAGAAAAACTTGTTTTGCAGATACCTGCCCTCTCCCTCCCAGATTATTTATAAAGACCCCCTTATCCCTCACACAAAGACACCCCCAGCAAGGAGTTTCCTCTTTGCGCTTTGGACTCTAACCTCCTCCTTGACTTGGCACCTGCCCTCCTCTGCAACCACATTCCTTGCTAATCATCTTTCAATACTCAGTTAAGAATTACCTCCTCTCTGAATCATTTCCAGCTCCATTCTCTGTTCAGAAAATTCAATCACTCCCTTTTTTTTATTCCCTCATTCTGTCCAGTGTATCATCTATCCAGGGCACCACAACACCTACAATAATATTGCATTTATTTATTTACATATGTGACTATCCCTATTAAACTGGAATCCCTTTAAGAACAATAATTATATTTAAATCATTGATATATACAAAATATCATGGTGATTCTATCACTTGGTGTGTAATATTTGCTCAACAGACGTTTGATAAATAAGTGAAAACATGAATGATAGATAAGTGAGAGAAAGGTGAGGTTAGAGAAATTAAGAAACTTGCCCAAGGTCTCACAGATAGGGCGTGGAGTCAGAATTGGAAACAAGGTGACTCCACCTGTCTGATTCAAAACTCACATCCTTTCCACTATATCCAACAGATATAAAAGTTCTTTTCTCTACATCAAAAGGATTGCTCAGTTCATTAAAGATTTTAACATTAAGGAATTTCCCGCACTACCCACGTTCGACAGCCTCCTCCTTCACTCTCTCTCCACCCTCAGGACAGCCTTGTTAAGTCACAGTTAGTGACACCAATTTAAAGAGGGCACGGACAAAGGAAATGGGCCTGAGGAAACCCGCTCCACAATCTCTCTCAAGCAGCCTTCCCACGATTCATAGAACCTTGAGCACTCAGAACTCCACTCCCCCTGGTCCCTCACGTCTGTTCTACTGCTCAGAGTGCTACTTTATCACTTCCCTTCTCCAGCACCCTAGGAAGCATCCAAATCTCCTTGGCACTGATTCCCACTCAGTTCTCCTTCCCCAGTCTGTCCTCAGTGGTCCATTTTCCTGATGTTGTCTCAAGCTCAGCCCAGCCCATTGGGAGCGTCAGGTTTCAGAGAGCCTCACTCTGAGGTAGGTTCAGAGCCATGGGGGCTAAGGGCGTTTATAGAGTTCTTTCCTTCTTCTTTTTTCCAGTAACATTTGAAACATCATTTTGCTGTGCTAGTACCCACAACAATCTATCTATTCCTCCTTTTAAACCAAAATTTAAATGAAAAAAATAAAGGTTGCATTTTAAAATCATCTATATTCAATACTTATAACAGAACAAAGCTAATTCATAAATATGCAAAAGAACTAAAAGTGGTTCAAATGAGGCTTTGCCTGTGATCTTTCCCTCCCCCATCATTTGACACCCAAAGGAGAAGCTACCCAATCCTGATGTTTACAGAATGACATCCATCACACAGGTAATTACTCATCCATCTTAATGCTTCCTTTTAAGTTTGCCTGTAAGAAGTCTGTGATCTCCCAAGTCAAGGGCTTCAGTAAAATCAATAAAACCTCGTCCTATCAGGCCACCAGCCAGATCATTTTCCACCTTTTAACAAGGCAGTGGTTATTAAATGCCTTGTTTGAAAACCCAAGTGGGGTCATCAGACTTTCATGATGAGAATAATCCATCAATTGTACATGTGCTATCTTTTCAGTGTATTTGATATAAGTGATAAAGTAGGTAATGGCCTATGGTTTTTCAATATCTGAACATGTTCTCCTTTTTACATTGGAGTTGCAATATAGCAAAGGGAATTTCATGACTGGAGGAAGCTTGTTAAGAGAGAAAGATATTTCACTGTGTTATTTCAGAAAATGCATACGATATGCTGTTGGCTCTAACTTTAAGAGCTGGGCTCCAAGCTGTCAGTGCCTTCCTTAGTCCTTAACCCAGCTATTCAACGACCAGAGATTCTGAATCCATAAACTTACAGTAAGATATAACTTATCATAATGGCTCATCCTATGCTTTTTCATTAGTTGAATTCTTATTCTGAATTTGTAGGAGGGATTAGAGATTCAGGATCATAAAAATTAAATGTCAATTGATATTGGACTCTTCTTCAATGCCAAATAATCTTAAAACAACAACAGCAAAAAACGAATACACTTTTTGTGGGTGTCTATGAAAATAGATCTGTCTGTGAATACCCTTCTGGCGTCATATTTGCTGAAAGCTTGTCTTCTGATACTGGCAGACATTGTTATGAATGATAAAAACAATCCATAAAATGACAAATGGAAGCTCCTTCTCTCTTTTGTTCATATCTGTTTGATTTGGTTGGGAAACCATGTTTGGATTATGCATTTTTCCACTTAAAATATAATCCTTTCTATTGTTTCACATTAATAATGGAATTAAAAGGACACTATCCCCAAACATTTGCTGCTTTATTGTAAATTTACAGAATTAATTAAAAAATTGAATTCAAATTTTAATCTATGACAATTTCCAGTAAGGTATGATTATGGGACATTCTACTGACTAAAAATGACTATTAAGCCAGCACTCTTGCAGTTTATCAGGACAATAATAATTGACATAGTGATAAAAATTCTGAGAAACAGCATGGCTCTGAAGCATCTTCACAATTACTAAAGGAAGATTAAATATATAGTTTTATTGTTAAATATATTTTTTACTCTGAGACTTTGAAATTAGGCAAACCTCAAATGGTTTGTCTGGTTATCCCAATTTACCAGATCATTTAATCTCCCCAAACTCTTCATTTACAGAATATAAGAACATAACAGACAGTAAGCTGTTCTTGGTTTTACTGTTACCTCAGAAATAAGCTCTGGCATCCAAGCCAAAAGGAATGAGGCTGGCAGAGTCAATGAAGACATGGATGCACTTTGCATCTCCTCCTTACTCCCGTTCTCTTTAGCTTTTGTTGGAATTTATTTAGAGAGAAAATGAATTAGGGGAAGAAATTAAATGGATCAGCTTCAGCCAGCTTACATTCTCCTTTTTACAATGAGAATAATAATAGAAGGAAAAATAATGGTTAGGAGGGTAATATGAATAATCACAAGCCTTTCATTTATAAATTTAGGGTTGTTTCACAAAATGCCTGTGTTATTTTGTGGGATGAGCGGCATGGTGGTGGAGAGCACCAGCTGGCTCAAATCCCTGCTCTGCCAATTGATATATGACCTGGACAAGTTATGTAATGTTCTCTCCCTCAATTTCTTCATCTATAAAATAGGATTAATAACAGTTGCATCATAAGGTTGATGCAAGGATAAAGAAGTTAATGTTTAAGAAAACTGCCAAGATTCCAGTGCTGTCTGCATAATAATTATGTGCATTTTCTTATGTAATCTGCACACTCCCTAAGAGTTACAGTTGTTATTTCTATTTTGTCAGTGAGGAAACTGAGGCTTAGCAAAGTTAAGTGACTTGCCTGAGGCCACTTGCCTAATTAAGTGGGAGTTTGGATCACGCACTTTACACTATTGGTACAGTGCGTGGGATATATTTACTCTGCCGCTCCATCACAACAGCCTTCTTCAGTTCCTTCTCACACGCTTTCCTTTTGCACCTGCAAAGGAAGTCTGTTTGCACCTGCTGGTCCCTCTGCCTGCAATGTACTCCCCTCCTCTCACTGCCTCCCTAACTTCTACATATTCTCCAGATCTCAAATCAGGAGTCACTTCCTCAGAAGAGTCCTTGTAGATCAAACGCTTCATAATAAGTTCCCATAACACAAGTCCCTCTACAGCAGAATGCTGTGCTGTTTTAAGTTTTACAGTTCTTTGTATGACTACAAACTACAGATGTGACTAAGAACTGTCTTCTTCACCAGACTGTAAGTTTCACAGACAGGCCTTATGTCAGTATCTGCTCACCACTGTATCCTTAGCACCTAGTACTCTTCCTGGCATGAAGGAGGTGCGTGGTAATATTTTTCAGAGAATTGTGAATGAGTGAGTATACCAAGCATGTAATACATTTTGTCTCTTATTTCTACCCACTTGTTTGCACATGAAGAAACTAACCTCGGTCAGGTTAAGTAAGCTGCCCAAGGTCACCCAGCTGATGTGTTCTAAATTAGACTCAAACTGAAGCCCTCAGACTTTTTGCAAGGCTCTCACCATCATACTCAACTTTTTAAAAACTGAATATTAAATTTAGATGTTATGATAGAATAATGGCTCCCCAAAGATGCCCATGTTCTAATCTCCAGAACCAGTGAATTTGTTACCTGACATGGCAAAACAGATTTTGCAGATGTGATTAAGGATCTTGAGATGGGGAGATTATCCTGGATTATCCAGAGAGGACCAATGTAATCACAAGGTTCTTGTAAGAGGAAGGCAGGAGTATCAAAGTCAGGGAAGGAGATGAGATGACAGAAGCAGAAGTCAGAATAATGCCATTACTGTGAGGATGCCATAAGCCAAGGAATGCAGACAACTTCTAGAAGATAGAAAAGGAAATGAATGTGTTCTCCCTAGAGTCTCCAGAAGGAATCATTCCTTCCCACACCTTCCTTGTTTTTAGCCTTATAAGACCTATTTTCAAACTTCTGACTTCCAGAACTTTATGATAATCAATTTGTGTTGTATTGTTTTGGGCCACTGTGTCTGTGGTAATTTGTTCACAGTAGCAACAGGAGACTAATGTAGATGTTAATGACCTCAGGTTCATTGATGAGTTTGCCCACATGATGAAGTAATTATGAAGTGCTGTTGATGTTATACTGTAAGATCAAGCTCGATGGACAGACATAAACAACACATGATAAAGGACCATTTGTTGAACTCGGTCTGCACAGTTAGTTACTTGAGCCGGGTATTTCAAACAAACAAACAAATCTATTGTTTAGTCTTTACCTCCAAATAATCTAAATTTAAAGAAGGCAAATTTCATGGAAAATTAATCTCTCTTCTTTGGGTTCTGAGATAACGCAATATATTTGGAAAAGTCCCTGACCAAAAGCCAGAAACGTTGATTTGAGACCCACTCACCACTTTTGAGCTTTGTGACACCAGGCTGTGCGCTTGCCCTCCCTTTCTCCATCCTAATAGAGGAACTGAGAAGCAGATCCTGAAGCTACCTCCCAAATCTACCATTCTGTGACCCTATCGTATTGTTACTTGGCCTGAGAGACTTCATCCCTTTAATTAAGAATGTTTGCTATATTCTAATCTGCTCCTCCCACCATGCCTCTCCCCTCGATTCTTCTTACATATTTCCCCACACTGAAATCTAAAATTCATTCTACAGGCATGCACACCATTTGCAGTTCATGAAAATTACAGAGTTGAGAGTTGAAGCTGCCGTATGTCATTTGTGTATGAATCCAGAATTGTCACTAAACTGAGTATTAGAATATGGCTCAACTCTAAGTCTGCCCCTAAGGTGTGGTAAAATTCTGCATGAGTCAAGAACCTTCTCATTAATAAACTCTCTGCCCTAACTCATAGGGATATTAAAAATAAATAATAAAATAAAGTACCTTAAAGCATGATTTTTAAAAGTTCACGATTGTTTCAATGCAATAAACATAACCTATCTCTTAGATTGCTTTTTGTGTTTATCATTTTAAAGACTCAGACAAGAGAATAAGAGACGTGAGAGAAAGCCATCCGAAGGAAGGAATAGGGAGGAGGGTTGAAAATAAATCCTTGGCTTTTTCTCAACTGGAGACCTGTAAACATAAAGAGATTTAGAACAATCAAAGTCAGAGATGCTACTGGCATCACCACATGCCTGCTGACAGTCAGATAATTTTGCTAATATACTCAGTGGAACTTAAAAAATTGAAAAATCTATTCCCTGTATATTGTAATGGCTCAAGCAATGAAAAATTTATATTAGTATTGATAATGACATCCTTGGAACAAGAAAGGAGCAGAGACTGAAAGAGCATTGTATTTTTAAACATCACACCAGGCATCATTTCTGGAAAGACACAGTTCCTGTCCTAACTAGTGCTTCAGTGGCTTCTCTTCATTGAGCAATAAATAGAGTGAAGAATATTGGTAAATTATAGACGATAAAATAAAATGACCTTCTTCCCAAATAGACGTTTTTCAAGATGCTATATTTCTATATATCACCCAAGCAACATTATTAATGCATAGGGATATTTATAGCTTTTTATACATTATAGAATTGAATTATGGTTGGCTCTGAAATGGAGTACCTAAAAGACCTGTTTCACGGCTCTTTCTAGGACTAGAGCTCACTGTAGAAGCTCTCTCAGGGACATCATCAGCAAGAAGACTCTGATCTATTGAGAAGCACCAATCTGCCGGACATATTCTTGTGTCTCTTGATGGATCCAGAAGGAGCGACCTCAGTTTTGAGGTTCTCTACACAATCATATAGGCTTGTAGGGAAGGTAGGCCAGCAATTTCTGAAAAGAAAAAGTAAGTGGAAAAAGTGAGTTATTGGTGAAGGCCAAAATTATGTAATTCCTCTAGCAACAGTTAAAAAAACTGAATTTTTTCACCTTCCTGAATCCAAATATTTATTGAGTTCATTGGCTAGGCTAATATTTACTGAGGTTCTATAATAGGCCAATATATACTAACAGGGTGAACTATAAAGGCAGGGTAGGAATGGGGTTATGAAAACAGAGAGTAAGTGGTTTGCTGTGGTAGCCAGCCTTCAAGACGACCCACGATCCATGATGAGCATGCCTCTGGGTATTCACACCCCTATATAGTCCTTCACACATTGAATCAGAGTTGGCTGTGTGACCAATGTAATATGGTGGGAGTAATAGTATGTTACTTCTGTAGCTAGATCATGAAAAGCATTGCTGCTTCAGCCTTGATCTTTTGAATGGCATATTACAGGAGAAGTCAGCCACCATGGTGTAAGGACACCCAACATCCATGTGGAGAGATCCACGTGGAGAGCAGCAGAAGCCCCCAGCTGGCAGCCAGGACCATCTGCCAGAAATGTGAAATGAGCAACCTTGGAAGTGACTCTTCCACCCCAATCAAGCCTTCAGATAACTGCAGCCTCAGCCAACATCTGATTGCAACTTTAGGAGAGTCACTTAGTGAGGATTGCCCAATGCAGACACTCCTGAATTCCAGACCCACAGAAACCGTGCAAGAAATTAAGTCATTATTGTTCTTCTAAGTCTTTAAGTTTTGGTGTTATTTGTTATACAGAAATAGGTAACTAATTCTTTCAAATGGATGGCATGTATTTAAATTTGACCTAAGAGGCAGTCTAACATAGTAGTTAAAAACAGAGTTTTTGGAGTTAGGTCTGGGTTTGAATCCTAGCTAGGTGATTCTGCAAATTATTTCACCTCTCTAGACTTCAGTGTTCTATTCTGAAAAATATAGATTGTAATAGTACCTACCTAGTATTTTGCCCTAGATCACACATAGCTGGACTACATGACTTCTAAGATCCATTCCAACTCTAAAATTCTGGAAGACAGAAGACATATATATATATATCAAAAAATAAAATAGACACTATTCATCTTTACATACTTCAGGCTGCTTTTGAGTAAAATCTTTCTTGATATCAATTGGGATCATATTATCTAAAAGCTCCCTGATTTTATTTTATTTTATTTTTTTTATTTTAAAGATTGGCACCTGAGCTAACAACTATTGCCAATCTTTTTTTTTTTTATTCTTCCCAAAGCACCCCCTCCCGCGGTTCCCCCCCGCCCCCCCCCCCCCCCCCCCCCCGCAGTACATAGTTATATATTCTACCTGTGAGTGCCTCTGGTTGTGCTATGTGGGACAGCGCCTCAGCTTGGCCTGACGAGTGGTGCCACATCCACGCCCAGGATCCTAACTGGTGAAACCCTGGGCCATGGAAGCAGAGCATGCGAACTTAACAATTCTGCCACTGGGCCGACCCCAAAAGCTCCCTGTTTTTAGAAGAACTGGTCCCAGATGAAAGTCGTATGATAAAAGCTACTGAATTGTAATCAAGTTCTATTGCAGCAAATTAATCTTTGTGCAAAAGCTGGAAAGTATTTCATGAACCAGAAACCAAGGAGAAAGCTTTATTATAACCTAGTAGTGAGCTGACCTTTTATACTCCAGGGACTGGGAAAAGTAATCAATCCATGGGTGTTTACTACCGGAAAAACTCAGGCTTAGAGGGGAGAAGCTGAGCCCCAGGGAGGCAATGCCGCAAGTCTGTCAACTTCCTGATAGAGCTGCTGGCCTGGACCCAGAACTCCACCAACCTTCTAGCAATTGAGGCTGTGTTTTGACTTACAAAAGCAAAACAAAACAAAAAGCTTTATTAAACCAGTCTTTTGTTATTGAGACCTGAAAATTCACTAGGTTACAAGTATTTTTTTTTTTTAAATATGCTCGTTTAAAATGATATTTCATTTTTGTTTTTCTCTTGTTTGCTTTTCCCATTCTGCTCTCCCTGCAGTTTCTGGTAATCATGAGAACCTTGGACATTATCATTCCACACACTCTCTTTCCATTTTTTGCCAATTCCAATTTGTTCTGAGTCCTGCAATAAATGAAATAAATAATAAATGAAAAGGCCAGAGGCAACAGCACCATCACCCTGCATACCCAGGGGAGAAACCAGAGGTTGTAGAGAGCTCTCTGCAGAGAAGATGGAAAACAATGTCTCAGGGGCCCAATTATTTACTGTAGCTGCTGAAATGAGATGATTTATGTTGGTGACAAGGCTGTTCTGGAAGTACAAACCGACTGGTATAAATTTAGATCTATTATGAAAAAAAAATGATCCTTGGACCAAAAAGAGCCCAACTTAAAAAGAAATTAAATGACTGTGGATTGTACATATACATACTGCACTTTATATGTATAGACAGGTATTTGTTCTTTAATGATTGCTGGCTATTCTGATATATTTAATTGGTGGAGGTTCAAGAAGTTAAGAATATAAACATTTTGTGTCTCAAATTCATAAGGTCACATAAAATAATTTGAGTTAGGCCATAGGTGGAAGAGGATGGACTTTTAATTGAGGACTAGCTTTAATTTTCCAGTACATTATATGAATACCAAAGCATTTAATTGGCCAAGACCTTGGTAGAGAAACAGGCAAGGGTTAAACTCACTAGATTAAGATCAGGCTTTGGTTACTTGAAAACAATACCCTACAAGGTCACATGCTGAAATGAAAAATTCAAAATGTCAAATAGCAATGCTGGTTCCATTGGACAAGCATCAAGAGGAAATTCATTAAAGCCCTGGGAGAGTCCAAAGCACAAAATTCCCAGGCCTTAAAGAGTCATTGAGAAAGAGGAGCCAGTAGTATGCTAAAGCTTAGAGGATTAAGCTTCGTGGAGATAGTAAAGTTTTTTGAAAGTGTACACGATCAGTTAAAGATAAGTGAGCAGATGTATTATGTGAATGTATGTATTATCATTCATAAATATAATGTTCCACTGTATATCATCTATATTATAAAACGCATGCAAAAATAAAAACTTAGAAAGTGACAATAAATAAATATAATTATATGTTCCTTTATATTCTTCCAATACCTCACCACTGGTAACAGCAATGTCACCAAGATTTAGAGATAAGGTTGAAGGTTGTAGAAATAGGATCAGGATCCAGTGGGAGACAAGAAATAGGAGGCATCAGGGACTGCAGACATTTGAGATTTGCCTGCCCAGCACCTAATGCTCAAGAAAATAGTGAGTGGAAATTGAGGAATCAGTGTAATTTCTCACCCCTCCAAATAATACTTTATTCCTTTCCTTGTGACTATCAAGGACTGTACCTGCATGGAGATATCATCCTGATTTGCCCTCACTCCACCACTCCTTGGACTCCACCTCCCTGCTATCCACATGGCAGCTGGGAGGTCAAATGCTAATTTGAACAAAGAGATGAAAGTCAACTAGCCCCTACTTTGATTGTGGCAGTAACAAGACTGATAGCAGGATTTTCTCAGAGACTGTCTGCTCTTCTGTGGAGAGTGGCTCTCAGGCTTGAATAACCTACACAAAATAATTATTTAAAGTGCAGATGTCTGAACTCTACCCCTCTCCCTGGAAATTCTGCTTTGGTTGGTCTGCAGTGGGCCTGGAATTCTGCATTTTACAATTTCCAGATGATGCTGAGGCAGGTGACTGGCAGCAGCCATAAGGAAGAGGCTAGACTTCTGGATCCTGAACCCTTAGGCATCCTTGGCCTAATCTCCCTCCCTCCATAGCCGTTCTTCTGAAAACAGTAGATCTGAAGATGGCGACTTTGAGGAACAGTCAGAGACCCTCCAGGGAGAGGTCAGACAAGGTGGAGTTGAGTAGATCCACCTGTCCATCTTTCACATAAAGATCCACAGATGCCCTCTGACACTATTCACAGATAAATGCATATACATGGTCCATCAGAGTCTTAAAATCAATCAGCATATTTAATATCAAAATATTCCCTCCACTCATTCCCAGTTTTCTACCCACACCACATCCACTATGATCAAGGAGAAAAGAACAAATTTAAGGACCTTAATAATTGAATTTAATTTTGCACATAGAGACATTCTTTTTGGTGTTGCTTTGGCTTTAAAAAATAGAATAAGTATAACCATATAATTTTGTCCAGAAAGAGGAGGAAATGCTGAAAACAAATGCAACATATCCTGTCTTGCCTCCATGAAAACACCCATCACTAAATTTTAAATATCTGTTTCCTTTCCTAGATTATAAGATCCTTGAGGGCAGGGGTCAAATCTGTCTTGTTCACTCTGTTAGTCCCAATAACTAGAACAATGCCTAGCCGATATGCAAGAGAAGTTCAGGAAATATTCTCTATTGAATAAATTGTTCATTCAAGCACATTAGAATGTCATGTAAATAATTTCACAACTCACAAATGGAAACAGCTATTCTAAAATCCTACTGCTCTGCCAAACAAATCCAGGCCTCTCAGGACTAAGGCCAAGCGACTTGACTCATTCCTTATATACTGGGTGTCCTTCTTCCAAATATGTTCACACCATGACAGCAAAGCATGCTCCCCTGATGTTACGTGCATGTGTCCTGGATCTGGCACAGGGACCATACTCTGAGGTGTCCCATACATGTGTTACATGAATCACAGCCAATGTAATGTAGTTCCTCTGAGAAATGAATGATCTGCTTATTTTCATGACCTGTTTTATGCGTACTTGGCAGCTTGAAGTTGCAGTATCAACCTTGTTCAACATCTGAAGAAAATACCTTAATTCACAGATTCTGCAAACACTGAATTAACCACAGTGTGTTATATGACTATGAGGATAAATGAAGGGGAACTAAAGGACATAAATATAAAAGCAAAAGTGTATATGATATTCCATGACAGGTATACTAGGATAGAACAAGTGCTATAATAAACAATCCCAAATTTCATTGGCCTTGCACGATATACGATAACACCTCGCTCATGCAAAATCCGGGGCAGATATTTCTAGTTAGGTTTCCTAGAGAGTTCTCCTCTAAGTGTGCCCCAGGGACCTAAGCTCTTTCCATCTCCTGACACTCTTGTCTTCAACACAGGGTCCCCATGAAAGGGAAAGTCAGAGAGTAAAAGATCAAGCAAGAGAGATTTTTATAGGCCAGTTCTGGAAGTAGCAGATATCAGCAAGGATAATGGGAAATAGAGTTTAGCAATGGACCCACAAGGTAAATGAAGTAGATTTGGAAATCACATAGCATTATTTCTGCCACAAGGTGTTAGCAATGTTTCTGTTTATCTCATTAGTCCATGGATTTTCCCTAAACTTAGACCATAATCAGGAAAGCACAAAGAGGCAGTATGGTATAGTAAGAAGCTACAATTACTTTATATTATACTGTTTACGATCAATTACATATCATTATTTATTAGCACTATTTTTCTCAAATCCCTAATCGTTTTATTTTCATTTCAGTTTCAAAAACCTTTCTTATGAACTTTAGCATTAATTCTTCTGGTAGCCATCCAAAATCAGGTTGGTGCTTTTTAAATGGTTATTTTACAAGAGTGATGCACTTTTTTCATTCTAATAGAGATGACCTTTACAAATTCTAAGACCTAATAATTTTAGTTAATTCAAAACAGGTGGAAAATACCTTATAGGAAGTTATTTGTTATGCACAAGATCAAGGCGAAATGTCATCACCTCTCCATAACTCTCTCTCCTTGAGGTTTCCTTTCCCAGATATAATTAATTGCCCTTCATCTGTGTTTTCACAGTACTTATATATACTCAGCATTAGAAGGAGTCATGTTATAGTATAGCCATTTGTTACATATTTGTCTTCTCCATAGACTTGAACTCCTCGGGGCTAAGGGAGGTTGAATCTTCAGGGCCTAAAGAATTGCTGGAACATCGCAAGCACAGAATAAAAGCTACCAAACCAATCAGCGGTGCTTCCTCCATCGTGTGCCTTGTAGCCCTGTGTCCACACCACCATTATAGCACTTAGAAACTTCATTGCAATTTGTTTTATGCCTTTCTATGACTGTCCAGCTACCAGATTGTGTAAATTAGGGCAGGAATAATATCTTATGTGCCAACTGCCTACCATATATTCGTCTATACATTCAAATCTCAACTTGTTCCAAAAATGATTTTATATGCTTTGTACTATATATAGTACAAGAGGATAAAAGATGGATAACTGATAAAATAATGGCTAAGGGTAAGAAAAATGACATAAAGAGTCCAAGAGTGAGAGAAGCACAGAAAATGCCTAGCAGAATATCCTATACTGTATTTGTAAAAAGTGAGCCTTAAACTTGACTCTGAGCTTTCTAATAGTCAAAACAAAAAGGGCCACATTCCCGGT